TTACCGACTCATCCCATCTCGTGCAATGACAATTATGAGTTTATCTATATCACTAATTTTTAGTGAATTTTATGTATCAATTGGATCGAAGAAGCTTAGATCCAATTTAATCTTTTTCATGGGAACAATATTTTATTTGATATTGTTAAATTTCTTTAGACTTTTTCCTTACATCTTTCCTGCAACTAGTCACCTTATGTTCAACCTTTCTGTTTCATTGTCAATATTTGTAGCATTATTTATTTTTTCAATTTATGATAACTCTATAAAATTCTTTGCTCATTTAGTTCCGTTCAATTCTCCTAAACCATTAATAAATTTCATAGTAATTATTGAGTTGCCTCTTAGTAATTAAATTATATTTTTCAATAGTTCAGCTAGTTGAATATAAAAATTCATACTTTTGCTTCAACGATAGAATCTATGGATCTATCTTCTTCCTTCAACTGGATTTCATGGAATTCACGTAATAGTAGGGACAACAATGCTATCTATTTCGTTATTTCGAATATGAAGACTACAGTTTTTCATGATTCACAATATTAACTATGAACTTTCTGTTTGGTACTGACATTTCGTGGACGTAATCTGATTATTTCTATACATCTTCTATTATGTTATAATTTAGAATTAAGTAATTGAGATAGTCCTTATGCATAGTATAATTATTACATCTAACTTCCAATTAGAAAATTTATCATAGTATGTAATGTGTATATGTAATGTGTATAGAATAAACATTACATTTAATTTTCAATTAAAAGATTTATGTCGAATTAATATATATAATGATTATTTGCATTATTTTTTTGATAATTACAATTACTTTATCATTAATTATTTTAAATCTTAACAAGTTTATCTCAATGATTAAATCCATTAACAACGAAAAGAAGATTCCATTTGAATGCGGATTTAATCCAATTTCTAAATTTTCAATTCCGTTTTCAATACCTTTCTTTTTGGTAACGTTATTATTTCTAATCTTTGATATTGAAATTACCGTTACAATTCCAATAATTTTGTATTTGAAATACTCTAATTATATATACGTTTTTACAATTATATTGATTTTTATGTCAGCAATACTAATAACTCTTGTAGCAGAGTGATTTATAGGTTACTTATCATGGATATTTTAATTGAACAAATATAAATCATTGCAGATTAAACTTTTAAGTCGAAATTAAATGTAATTTTTTACTTTATATTTAGTCAAATGTTAATAATACATAAGATTATAATAGATAAGGTTTGAGGAAATACATTGATTGTAAATAATGTATTATTAAATCTTGTTTTACAAGATATTAATTTGATAATTATATTTGATGTATATTGCATATTAAATTTTGATTTTAAATGAATTATAAATAATAATAGTATAAATTGTTAACTTTAATGTTAACGAATGTCAAGTCAAATTTAATTATGTTTTGATTATTGATTAAATTAATATATTATATATAACTGATTAAAATTAAATATACTATTATATTAAAAAAATTTTAATAAAGAGATCTAGAAAAATTAGTGAAAGTTAAATATGGGAATTAAAATTAATAATGATAAATAAAGTGCCAGCAATAGCGGTTAAACTTTGATTATAAGTCAATAATTAACAAAACTCTATCTAATTTAAATTGAAAGAAGTTAAAATAGAACTGTTAATTATAGGTGAAATTTAAATTAATAGATATGATTTAACTTTAAATACAAATGTATAAAAAAATTAGTTATTAGACTAGGATTAGATACCCTATTATTCTAAGATGCTCTTAAGTTTTTACCATTAAATGTCGAATCATTAAAATAAAATAATATGGCGGCCTATTAATCTTTTTAGGGAAACTTGTCAGTTAATTTGATAATCCACGATAGGATCCACTTGAATTAAGAGCTTATGTATTGTTATTTTAATATATAGATAGAAATCTTTATATATATGAATATTTAATAAAATAATACTTTAAATCAAAATGTAGCATATTCAAGACTAGATGAGTTATAACAAATTTTATTTTTGGATAATTAGTTTTAACACTAATTGGAAAGAGGATTTAATAGTAAATTAATTAAATTATTTTAATTGAATTAAGTAATAATTGGTGTACAAATCGCTCGTCAGTTTCATAAAGGAATAAGTCGTAACATAGTAGAAGTACTGGAAAGTGTTTTTAGATAAAAAATTTTAGTTTATAGAAAACTGTTTATTTACAATAAATGAAATTAATTATAGTTAAAAATTTTATTTCAAAATATAAATTATTATTTATGTTTATTATTTTATTAGGTTTAACAAAGTTGTATTATAATGATTGTTTTTAGTAAGATATTCGAAATAATTATATTATTGATAGTTTAAAGTAATGAAAATGAACTTGGAATTGAAAATTTATAAGTAAAATTTTATTTGTACCTTTTGTATCAGGGTTAATTAATATAATTTATAAAAATTAATTGTCTCGAAAGTAGATGATCTAAATATGTAAAATTGTTCTTGTTGAATAAAGAATATAAATACATATTTAGAAATTATATGTTTTACGTATCTATTTATATCTAGTTTTTTTCTATTTAAATTTAATTTAGTTGCAATAATTATATACGATTAATAATTTTAATTTAAGTATATTTATTTCATAAAAAATCTATGGGATAAACTTTAGATTTAAATATTCAATGTGAATATTTTCAATTAATAGTATTGTGGTTCTAATATTAATCATCAATTCAGAAAATTTTACAATTCAGAAATTACAAAATAAAAATTTATTATTATAAAATTTAAATATATATGAATAGTTTTTAGAAAAAAATAATTCCTAACTTCAAGAAATTAAATAAAATGATTGAATTAGTAGTAGTATTAAATCATTAAATGAATGTATAAAATATAAATTTAATATATATATATATTGCCTAAGGAACTAGGCAAAATAATCATATTCACCTGTTTATCAAAAACATGTCTTATTGATAATAATTTTAAGTCGATCTGCCCAATGAATTTTTTTAATGGCTGCAGTATAACTGACTGTACAAAGGAGCATAATCAATTGGTTTTTAAATGAAATCTGGAATGAAAGGATTAATGAAATATGTACTGTCTCAATTATATAATATGAAATTAAAATTTTAATAAAAATGTTAAAATTTTCTTATGGGACGATAAGACCCTATAGAATTTTATATTGAATTGTTTCAGTAGTTAGTATCGAATTCAGTTCAATATTTGATTGGGAGGATTATTAAATTTAATTAATTTTAATTTATTTTAACTTTGATTTAAGAAAAATTAATGATCTTCAAATTGAAATTGTAAGAGTAAATTACCTTAGGGATGACAGCGTAATACTTTTTTATAGGATACATAGAAAAAAGTGGTTGCGACCTCGATGTTGAATTAGGATAAATTTTAAATGCAGGAGTTTAATAATTAAGTCTGTTCGACTTTTAACGATCCTACATGATTTGAGTTCAAATCTGACGTAAGTCAGATTGGTTTCTATCTATAAGAAATTTTAAATTATTTGTACGAAAGGACCATAATTTATAAATTATTTATCGAATAATAATAAATATATTTAATACTGATCTTAGATCGGTAACTGAAGTTATTTTAGCAGATTAGTGCAATAAATTTAGAATTTAAGTTAAGTTATACATGATATAATAAATAATAGTGATTGCAATTATAAGTTTTATTTTAATAATTATTATGGTTGCATTTTTAACACTTTTTGAACGAAAGATCCTAAGTTACATAAAATACCGAAAAGGACCAAATAAACTATCCTTTGAAGGATTAATACAACCGTTTAGAGATATAATGAAGCTTCTATTGAAGGAAATGCTACATATTAATTCAAACAAAATATTCTACTACAGTCCCTTGATAATGTTCATTATCTCCTCAGCCCTTTGAATTAATTACCCTTGAATCTATAACAATATCAGTATCAGTTACAGAATAGTTTTTATGCTATTTGTTATAAGAGTAAATGTATATCCAATCCTTGTAATCAGATGAGTTTCAAAAAACAATTATTCTATTCTCAGAATAATGCGCGCAATTTCTCAGATAATTTCATTCGAAGTTTTGGTTTACTTGATTGTTTTTATTATTATAATAATAATTGAGGACTTTAGATTAATGAAGGTTATTAATTACCAAGAAAAAATCATTTTTTCAGTTTTCTTATACCCTGCATACTTCTTATTTATAGTGTATAGAGAATACTATAATCGATCTTAATCGGGTTCCCTTTGATTTAATTGAAGGAGAATCTGAACTGGTATCAGGATTCAATTTGGAATATTATAAAAGACTCTTTACCATAATTTTTTTTTCAGAGTATATAAATTTAATTTTTGTCAGGACAATCTCAGTAGTAATTTTCTTTAAGTTGAACCTTGAGGCTTATCCTTCATTACATTAAATCTATTAATAACAGTTGGTTTAATTATAATTCGAGGAGTACTTGCACGAGTTCGATATGATCATTTAATATACACTTGCTGAATAGAGATATTAGTTCTGTCAATATACTATCTAATATATATATATATATATATATATATATATATATATATATATATAT